GAAAATTCATATATCATATTGCGGTTAAGTACGTGGGCGACGAAAATTCGTAATGAGGTCGTGAAAACTATTTCCTACAGGAGGAGTAATAAACCCCCTCGTCGTAGCAGTTGTAGGTGTTTTGCATGGTGCCTTGCGGACTCCTTCGTCATATGTAGTGAATGCAAATGTCCCGTAAAGCAGCGACAATAAATTACAATTTCTAACAATACAAAGATGTTGAACTTAATAGCGGTGTAGATCATAAATGGTGTGTTAACCTGTCGTAAGTGCGCTTACTAAATTACATAAGAGAAATATATGTTGATTTGTTTTCGGGACTGTAACCAACAAGATTCTAACCCTATTTTTATATCTCTTATTATTGATGTCAGCAGTTCTAAGACTGGTTGGACACGCACCTCCACTTTTTCCTATCCTGAACCAATCTTAACGTTTCCTTAAAACTCGAACATCCCACATCCTTAACTGTTTGCGAACAGTAATCAAATCTAGGTCTACTTCTATTCCCCTTGACTTCTGTTTTTGCTTTTAATATGTCTCTAAATAGCCCTTCATGACTGAGAAGGTGTCCTACTAACCTATCTCGCCTATTATCCCAGTATCCTCATCATTTGTCTGTAACACCACACATTGAAGACTTTTCCTTAAACCTTTTCTTTGCTATTTTTGAATTAATTCTAACCCTATTTTTATATCTCTTATTATTGATGTCGTCAGCCCCAAGACTGGTTGGACACGCACCTCCTATCTTTCCTATCCTGAAATAATCTTCACATTTCCCTAAAACCAGAACATCCCACATCCTTAACAGTTTGCGAACAGTAATCAAATCTAGGTCTACTTCTATTCCCCTTGACTTCTGTTTTTGCTTCTAATACGTCTCTAAATAGCCCTTCATGACTGACAAGGTGTCCTACTAACCTATCTCGCCTATTATCCCAGTATCCTCATCATTTGTCTGTAACACCACACTTTGAAGACTTTTCCTTCAACCTTTTCTTTGCCGCCGCGTCCAATTAACAACAATAATTTTATTTATTGTTTTTGTTAGAATAATAAGTAAGGGTTCATGTTCTTCTCAAAAATTGATCTTAAAAAGGGGATGTCGCCTGTTATAGGATCTTTGTTCATATAATAAAAGAACATTTTCGACAGGCATTTCTTTGGCTATCGGTCAGTTGTGCGTTGTCGATAAGATCGCGGTCAGGAAATGTCAATCTTTACCCGAATTGCCCCCAATACGGCCATAAATGCTATCGGTCCTCGTTCTAATTAATCTGGTCAAGCACATTTTCATCTCTTATTGTGTCCCAAGAGGACCCGTAATTTCTGAACGATGGACAACTCGTCGACAGACAACTGGAACTTTCCGGGTTAATTAGAAACAGTAGATAATTGTCTGTCCAGAATAAGCAAGAACTCTCCCTTGTTAGTTGACTATTGGGTTCCGCTTAGGACCCCGGAATTTTTCTCAATTGCCCTGTAATGCCGATAATTACTGGTAGTTTTCGCCCTTTTAACAGGGAGGGTTGATTACCTAGAATAATTTATTGCCTTGAAAATGTGAGAACCTTCTTGAGCTCATATAACCGATAACTAATTTAAATTAATTAAAAACAGATTGATTTTAAGAAATTTTAGCGGATGATTTTGCTCATTTTAATTTTAAAAAAAGCTATTTCAACTGCAGAAGGGGTGTCAAAAAGGCGTTTACTTGGTTGGCCTCATGTCATATTTTATTTCAGTTTTTGTGATAATTGTTACACGTATCCATAATTTCCTATTTTTGTAAGTCACTAGTACCTCTATACAATCAGTAAATCCATATGATATGTTTAATACTGCAAATTAATTAATAATTGTATAAAAAATCATGCTTACTGATAAAATATCAACATTTTCTAAGAAATTGTTTTTATTTTTTTAATGTATTTTTGATATGAAATGAAGAAAAACTCAAAATTTTCATCTGTTATGACAGCGCGTGACATACAGACAGATATACAGAAAAATGAGTTTTTAAAAAGCAAGTTTTCCTGCTTTAAATAGTTAAATTATGAAGAAATAAATGCAATCTCATACTTTAAAAGCTTCTTCTTTGATCTGAGATGGCTTTGCTTAGAGTTCAATTGCACGAAGCTACAACGTCAAGGCTCATAGAGAGTTATTGTACGTCGAACGGAAAACGCACGCTAACTAATCGCGGAAAGTAGTGGTTCAAAGTGTACAAAAATGACCAAAAGGGTGTGTATTATTTTCAGATAGGGTATTTATTAATGTTGTAATCATTTGATCATTCGAATAAATCATAAACACGAGTATTATGCGAAATTACCAGTGTTCGTTTTCGACAACTAGCAAACGACGCCGTGGCGGAGTGAATCAGTGAATACGGTACGTACTTGCGGTCATGCGCGAAATCCAGTGCTTTCTTCGCGAAGGAATATTAAATATTTAATTATATTTAAAGCTGTTTATAATATTATATTTGACATTTTATAGGTAATAATGATTTATTTACGGTAAAAATTTTATTAATGCGTGTCTCGGTATCGCGTTTTCGCGAGTGTTATTTCCAAAGTTAATTCTGCAGTTTTGACTTCGCTGTTGTAATGTAAGTTTTTTATTTAATTTATTATCTTATAAATACTAATACTTTGATATTACCACTTGTGGTATGAGAATTATCAAAAGTTACTATAATACATTTATATTCGTAACTTCTGGAATACGAAAATTACCAAAGAAATTACAAAACTTTGAAACAAATTGCTCTACAAATTTAAAAATGAATTACTTTATATATTTTATAAGGTATTAACAGCTATGGAGTAAAAGAATTAGTAAATTAATAAAATTTAAAGTTATCAAAAACATTTTACTTCCGATTTATGTATTCATGGTATTGCTATTACTGCATTTTTGAACAACTTGTTGCATTCAATAAATATTTAATATGCCATAACTATAACTTATAGGTACAAGATTGAAGAGAAAAATATTTACTAGATTGGATTTTGTTGTGGTAATGCTATCTCGAACTGGCACACTACACATTAAAGCAA